TGCTATCCATCAGTCTTCTTTTCTCAAGGCTAAACATGCCCAGTTCTTCCAGCCTTTCCTCACAAGGCTTAGTTTCCAGCCCCCTGATCATCATCCTCTGAACCTGCTCCAATTTGTCAGCATCCTTCTCGAAGTGTGGTGTCCAGAACTGGACACAATAGTCAAAGTGAGGGCTAACCTTTGCTGAATAGAGGGGGACTAGCACCTTGCAGGATTTGGAAACTATACTTCTGTTAATGCAGCCTAAAATGAAGGGATGATGATGATCCTTAATGAACTACTGGTGGTCTCTGGCTGCAGAGCCAGAAGTTGGAAGTTCGATTCCCCCATTGTGCTTCTGTGACAGAGGGCTGGATGTGATCATCCATAGGATCCCTTTCAGCTCTGCAGTTTTAAGGTTATTGTTATTTACTGTTATCATTGTTATCATTGTTGTTGTTTAAGATGGGCCACCCACTTCCTCCAGTTTTCACAACGACGCTCAAGTCTCCATGTTTATTATTTATTTATTTTAAACATTTCTCTGCCGTTGACCTCCTAGAGGATCCAAGGCAGCTTTACAAGATTTAAAAAAACAACGTTAAAAACCCAATAATGAATTATTACAATCCTTAATAAAAAAATCCGACCCGTGTCTTATTAAAATTTGCTGTAAGAGCAAGATTAAAAAGACAAGGAAAACACAGAATAAAACAATCCTTTTTTCAAAAATCTGCTTGATTGACCGGTCGTTTAAAGTAGAACGATGAGACAGGCCGATTTTCCACACAGTCCTGGGTGCGATTTATTTTTAACGTCTTGCATCTAGATCTTACTGCTGGAGGCTGCAGAGCGAGTCCCGCCTTCAGAGAACGACCTGCCAGTGGTGAGGACGACGGCCACGTGGTATGATGACTTCGTGCCCGACGCCATTCCTCTAGCCAAGCCGGGTACCGTGCTGAGGAAACCTGTGGGACCCGTAGGTGAGCCAACGGCAGGCTGTTCTCTTCCCACACACCGTCTCCTAGCAGAGATGGCACTGCTTGTCTTGTCTTTTCTCTTGGCCCCTTTGGCGTAGGTCCACTTGTAAATCAAGCTGATTCTGTGTCTGTGCCAACTGTTTTATCAAAAACAATTTGTCTTTCCATATTGCTTTAAAATGTATTTCGATGGATTTGAGCCAAGAACTTCACCAGACGTTCAGGACATGTGAAATCAGAAGGAGAACGAAGTTCTGATCTGCACTTCCATGTAGAGCCCCTGGATCGTGTTGCTCTCCTTTCTGGAATTCACATGGGTCAGATTCCTCAAATTGATCCCTCTACTGTATTAGCTCATGAATGCTTTATAGAGAGGGGCACAACTGTATTTCAGCAGTTCAGCCCGGTTTGGCATGGTGCCTGCCTGGGTATCCCTCGGGCACCGCCTGCTTCCTTGCTCTCCCTCCTCCAGCAGCCGCCCACTCAGGCAAGGAGGCAGGGCAGGGAACCCTATGAAGTGGTGTCTGAGTGGGCGATTGCCTGAGGAGGCAGAGGAGGAAAGCGCACTACTGCCAGTGAGTGGGCAATCATCTGGAGGAGGTGCAGACAGGAATGCACGACGCCCATGGAACATCTGTGTGGGCGCATGCCAAACAGAGCCAAACTTCCAAACCACAGTTGATGCCCATCTCTATTTATCATGTCTAAGGCTTAAGATATGACAAGATGAGTGCCCTATCATGTCTGGCATCTTGTTTACACAGTAGTCACCCAGATGCCTCCTCTACAAATTACTCTCATATTAATGCTGTGCTATGCTGTTCTCTGGCTGGGCTCCTACTGGGTTTTACAGCATGCATATGTGCATTTGTAGAGACATTGCTTTCTGTTGGTGGGCTGTCCATTGTGTGACCAGACCTACGACCGGCTATGTGGTCAAGTGACGAATGACAGCACAAGTGACTGATGGACCAGCCGTGAAACCGTGTTCACTGCGTTGTGATTGTGTTTGCATTCTACGTGATTCCAAAAGGATGCTGATTATTCTATTCTATTCTATTCTATTCTATTCTATTCTATTCTATTCTATTGTCCCCAAATCCTGTGAGATACTAGTTCTTCTCTATTCGGCACTGGTTAGGCCCCATCTTGAAGGATGCCAACAAACTCGAGCAAGTTCAGAGGAGAGCAACAAGGGTGATCAGGGGGCTGGAGACCAAGCCCTAGAAAGAAAGACGGAAAGAACCAGGCATGTTTAGCCTTGAGAAGAGAAGACAGGGGAGATAGGGGAGCCCTTTTCAAAGACTTGGAAGCATTGCCCTGCAGAAGAGGGCCAGGATCTGTTCTCAATCATCCCAGAGTGCAGGACATGTAATAATATGCTCAAGTGACAGGAAGCCAGATTTTGGCTGAATCTCAGGAAATGTTAGAGCAGTCCAACAATGAAACCTGTGACCTCAAGGGGAGGCGGTAAGCGCTCCAACACTGGAGGCATTCAAGAGAAAAGGGGAGCCCCCCCCTCTCTACAATCTGCTTTGATTTGGATTCTTGCACTGATTAGGGAGTTGAGCTCAGTGGCTTTATAGGTTCCTTCCAACTCCATTGTTCTATGATTCTGTGACATTATGTTACGAGTATATGGGCCAGAATCCTTTGGAATATTCAATATTCTATTGAATATTGCATCAGTCTCAACAGCTAATTGCCACTCATTAAGCAGCTGCTGTTTGCATTTCTGGGTCTGCACCTGATTATTGGGAGCGTGCCCGATGCCTCATTGAATGAGTAGCAATTTGCCACCAAATTTCACCTGATGGCTGTCACACACACATGCATAAATCGGGATCCTGGCCATTACATTAAATGCTATGCTCCACATATCCAATGCTGTCTGGGTTCTTCATCTTTTGCACCAAACTGTGCGACACTGTATGCTTGAATCTTTGCAGGGCTACCGGGACCGACGGGGAAACCAGGCCCAAAAGGGGAGAAGGGAGAAGTTGGCGAGAGGGGGATGTCTGGACCACCAGGTGAGTTCTGGGTGGAGGCAACTAAAGTTATGAAAAATAAAAACCCACTCCCCCCTGGGTATGTTGTTTTGAGGACCCATAGCGCTCAACCACATGTTATATCTGTTGTCAACAGTCTCTCAGGCGGTGTGTCCTTCTTTGCTGGCCGTTCTTCTGTGCTGGTACTCTTTTTAGGGCCCCTCTGGTCCATTCTTGGAAAAGCAGCTTCTTAGAGCTACAGCTCTTCAGCTGCTCGATGGCTGTGGTGGCTGGGTAACTCTGAGAATTGCAGCCCCCAAACGAAACTTTTCTGAGCTGTGTGCCTGGTCACAGTCTTCTGCATTTGGGCAAGAAGTATTTTTTTCCATCTTTAAATGTCAGTACTTATTTTCATATAGGCATGTTTACTTATACAGTAGCCCGTGGAAATAACATGCAGGCCCATGCCTGTTTTGGTGCTTCTTCTTAGGATGGAAGTGAGTTCTCCAGAGTTTCGGCATTAAGGAACTGATTTAGGACATCCTTTTAGGGCCCTGCAATATTTTTAAGCCCCTGCAATATTTTTAAGCCCCTGCAATAGTTTTAAGCCTCTGCAATAGTTTTAAGCCTCTGCAGTACAGTACTTATTGCCTTTTTATTTAGGGATGGGAAATATTTGTGGGTTTTTTTGTACTGCAATTCCTAGAGATTTTTTTTCTGGGAGTGGTGGTTCTCCATACACACGCACACCCACCCACACGTGCACACACCGTGAAAAGTTTCCAATCTCTGCTTCTAATAGTTTAAAAAAAACCCTTATGCTTCTCTGTGTTGAATCCCCAGGTCTGCTGGGGCCTCCTGGACCCAGGGGATATCCAGGCGAAACTGGAATGCCAGGGCCGCCGGGGCCACCAGGACCACCTGCGTCTCCAAGCCTGCCTTTGACCTTCCAGCAAGGTGTCCTGTATTCGCTGCAGCCCGGCGCTGAGAAAGAAAGTAGGTCTTGTTATCTTTCGCACCAGGGCCATCCTCTTCCCCAAGCACATGAACCAAGAAGGGCTGTAGCTGAAACCCAAACAGAGCATAGAAGAATGAGCGCTGCTTGAACCCTCAATGCTCAACAGCAGCAATCCTTTTTTGAACCTCAATTAGCCCTGCACAATTAGCAACCTTGAGGTCTCGTATATCACAATGGATGCACCCCACAGGCCACTTTGTCGAGAACCAGGAACCTCCGGGTCGGGCCGGAAGGAATCAGGGCTAAAAGCCAGCCAAGGTGTCGCTTGGTCAGAGTTGGGCTTGTTCGACCTGACTTGATGTAAAGAGCAGCCTGTGTTGCCAAGTTTTGAAATTTCTGGTACAGTTCTCCTTCAGTAGAAAGACCCACAGAGGAGAATAGCCACAAAGTTCCCCAGAGTCCGCCCTTTTCTTATTAACTGGCACTTAAAGCCTCTGTAAGTCACTCTGAGACATTTGCAGGAGTATGAAATTATAGTGGCTTGAAATTACAGACTTGTGCTTCCCGCTTTCTTTGCGGCACACATACTAGCAACCAACCGAACAGATCAACAGCAGACAAACAGTGGCCACCGACAGAAGAAAGAGAGGGGGAAAAGAACATTCAGCAGAGAGGTGGGGCTATCTTTGAATTCAAAAGCTAGAAGGAATGGTTGGTTAGGGCTGGATACACGGACAAACACCTCAGCCCAGAAAAGACCCTCCCAGTCACTCAGTCTGCAGATGGCACGTGAGAGCTAAAACTCCAACGGCCTGCCTCTCCGTGTATTAGTACACAAGAGTATGTATGTAGGGTGTACAGTGGCCCTTAACCGCTTCACCTTCACCGGAATCCTTGACTTCCCAGAAATTCTGTACAAGGTCAAGAAGACTTCCTTCTGCTGGTCTCTCTTCCCATTATTCCTTACGTTCTGCTCACCACCTCTGTCCAGTAGGTGAGGACTTCTAAACTTTCATTCTGATCCTTGGCATGTGGCACAAGTTTAGCTTTGATTCCTATTCAGGTTATTGATCCACACAAGCACCTATGTGCGTGGATGATACTCAGCTCAAAAGAGAACTTCTGTGCTTCAGTGGCTTTTCTGTACACTCACATCTTTTTCCCCCACAAGGTTGTCTATATATTTTTGCACTCTGATTAATTTAATCCATGCACACGGGCACTCATGTGCATCACTCACCTGGAAAGGTGGTGCCAGGAGGGTAGAGAGGAACTGTATTACTGAATGGAAGAAAACGAAAGCTTCTAAATCCCAAGACGGCAGAACTCCGTATAAAGTCAGGGATTACAATAAGGAGAAAGTGTGCAGATTTTTGCTCTAGATACAAGCCAGCATAATTGGGAACCCCCAAATCCGGGAGGTAAGAGGGATAGGGACCATTTCTGAACAAAGCTATTTTTTTAAAAGCTACTAATCAAAGAGCCGGAACTTAAATTTCCTGAAAGTAGTTAGGTGTTATCATTGTTAGCAGTTTTTCAAAGTTTGCACTTTTGCAAAAGTAACTTGTACCTTTAAGTTACTTTTAAGAACCTGTAGATGGTTCAGTTTGCTAGCTTAGGCACACCCTGCTTGCTGTTGCTGCAATACTATGTAATAAATACTCTTCCTTTTTTAATCCTTAATGGGAAATGGTGCCTTGAAATAGCACTTGATCAAAATCCTGACTTCTAGTGAAACTTTTCCAGGGTTTTCCAGGTAGAGAATGCTCAGAAGTGGTTCACCCTTCCCTTCCTCTAGGGGGAGCCCTGGGACTGTGCAGCTGGCCCAAGGCTACAAAGGCTAGCCCTTCTCCCAGGAGGCACCGTGGGGATTCGAACTCCCAACCTATGTCTCTGCCAGCTGTTTTGGAACATCGCTGTGTCTCATTAGCAACCCTTTGGGCCAAAGTTTTGCTGCTATGTTGGCTGTTTGTTTACTGAGCTCCTCAAGTGCAGCCCGCCCGTGTTCTTTATCTCCTGGTTTGTTAAAAGTGCCGTAATCGCTACAGCAGCCTTTGTAGGCAGAAGATTGTTCTTGTTAATTAATCATCTCTCTCTTTTTCTCTCTCCTGGACATGGAGGAAGTGGATGTATTTTTAATCTCCTGAAGATTAAAAAAAACACAGCTCCTTTAACAGCCGTGTTTTTTAAAATCTAAATTATTTAGAAGGGAGCGAATTATTTGTGGTTCGTTACACCAAGGTTCAGAGTAAAATGGAGGGAAACACGGAGAGAAGCCCCCCCTTCATGAACAGTTTGTGCAGTGGGTGTGTGTTTGCCCTCATGTTTTGCTCACAGTGGCTTCATAGCTGAATTAATGGAATGTTTTGTCACTGTCCACCAGACAAACTCAATATCTAATTGTTCAAAGTATTTATCCATTACAAGTATGCATATCCTAGCTTTTATCCAAAGGAAGATTCTCCTCCATCCCATCTTATCTTCTCCAAATGGCTTCTTCTTTTCCCCACTGTATCCTCCCCACCACTAGAGGCTTAAAGAGTGTAAAGCCGTCTGAGTCTCAGGGCTTGGTAGGGATTCGAACCCAGGATTTCCTAATCTTAATCGTAATTTAAAATTTCCAATCTAATACACCGCATTGGCACTGTGAACACACAAAATTGGGATGCTCACAGCCCTAGAAGAATTCAAGAAGCAGAAAAACATTCTAGGAAAAGAAATTTAAATGGAGGGAAGCCCCACCCCGACAGTCAACTGAGGACCAAGCAGATTTAGTGGCCATTAAATACTAGTTGATTGATGGAGGATAGAACAAGATAACAAAGTACAATAGGACCCCTGTATCCATGGGATCAGTATCCACTGATTCACTTATCCATGGTAGGAAATTATTAAAACTATTAATAATTTTCCCTACATCTCCCCTCTACCTTTTGTATTCCTTACCTTATGCCTAGTTTTTAAAAATAAAAAAGAGATTTTAAAAAATAAAACTATTAAAACTATTAAAATCCTAGAAATATGTATCGCTATGTTTGTACTAGAATTGGCCACTAGAGGGAGCCAGAGACCATGCTCTTATATATACAGTGGTGTCTCACTTAACGACGATAATCCATTCCAGGAAAAATACCGTTAAGCAAAAACATAGTAAAACGAAATTAAAAACTCAATTGAAACGCATTGAAACCCGTTCAATGCATTCCAATTGGGTAAAAACCCACTGTCCAGCGAAGATCCTCCATACAGTGGCCATTTTCGCTGCCTGACCCTAAACACAGCATGGAGCTATTTTAAGCACCCGGTGGCCATTTTGAAACCGGCGATCAGCTGTTAAAAGAAACATCATTTTGAAACCGCCAATCAGCTGTTAAAAGAAACATCATTTTATAAAGAATTGGTTCCCAAAGCAGGGAACCAATCATCGCAAAGTGAAAAAACCCTATTTAGAACATTGTTTTGCGATCGCAATTGCGATTGCAAAAAGATTGTCATACAGCGATTTTGTTGTAATGCGAGGCAATCGTTAAGCGAGGCACCACTGTATACCTACTGGAGTTGCTATGGAGGCACACTCCTCGTTAAGCGAGGCACCACTGTATACCTGAGTTGCTATGGAGGCACACTCACTAAGGACTCTCAGCTTGTCATCTCTTGTGGTGAGGAGTTCCACAGTATATATACTGTTTCCTATTAGAATACATTTGCAGTAATCTGTGTTTTTCAGCATCCGTGGGGGAGGAGGCTTGGAACAAATTCCCCCCCAGACATGGGGGTCCTACCATAATTCATAAAAAATTAGGGGTGGTTCCCAACCTCAGGTCCCCAAATGTTCTTGAACTAAAACTCCCAGAAGCCTCCAACACTAGCTGTGCTGGCTAGGATTTCTGGGAGCTGTAGTCCAAGAACATCTGGGGACCCAAGGTTGGGAACCAGTGGTCTAGGGTTGTCCACTGACACTAGACAGTGGGTATATCAGTTGATGCAAAGAGGAGCTTCTGCAGACATGCTATGAACCTGTGGAACTCCTCGCCACAAGACATGACAAGAGAGTCCTTAGTGAGTGTGGCTCCATAGCAACTCCGGTAGGTATTCATTCCATCCTGAATCAGGAGTCGGTGCAGCCACGTGTGGCTAATTTTATGGACTTCCCTGCCTCCAAGGTGTGGCGTTGGCCGTTTGTTTGGGGTCCCTAGCCCCAAAGGGGCATCCGATGAATTTCTTGGTGTGGGAGGAGGACGAATACTCTGTTCGAGGACTGCGAGCCGTCAGCGCTCAGCACATCCACCATCTCTGAATCTAGGTTGATGGGACACTGGGTCACAATGGAGGCATCTTCTTCTGCCCCCTTATTCGTGGCCTTCCCAGAACCGCCCCATAATAAATACCATGCCCCCCTCTACGAGCAACAGGATGCTGGAACGAGAGGGCCTTCTGGTCTACTCCAAAACAGATTTTGGTTTTTCGTTCCCAACGCTAGATCTTAGGCTTTCTGGAGCACACCCCAGGAACTGGAGGAGATGGAATTCTATGCTACAGACAGCAGATGGAAGCAGAGCCCAACTCTCTGGAGAAAAGACTGCCTTGTTTTTTTTTTTAGCCTTCCCCTAGCTGTTGCTATCTGACAGTTTTCCTCCTCAGAGCAGGTGGGAGTCACCTGGCTGGCCGGCCCCCATCCCCTCTCCCATGTCAAGAAAAAAGGTTTAAAAATAAATAAATAAATGGGTAATTGCCATTCACAGGAACTTCTGGGGTAGCCCCTTTCCCTTTCAAACCCAGTGCAACCTCCATACTGCCATAGAGGCTCCCTGAACAAACCCCTTCTCCTCTGTAAAAGTAATTTTACAGGGGTGGGTGGGGGAGAATTTATCCATCCGCCCATCACAGGGTGATACAACGGGACGGCTGGAAAAAGATTTTGTTCCTGGCATCGAAAAATAGTGCTCGGAAGCCTTCAAACACAGGTGGAATTCCAACTGCTTAGTGTGCAGTAAGTTACAACTAGAGTAGGCCCACTGGATCAGTAGGTATTTGCTGAGTCAGCCCATTGGCAACCTCCACGGGGTTCAGTGGGTCTACTCTAGTTGTGATTTATTGCACTGGTTCTTAACCTTTGTTACTCAGATGTTTTTGGACTGCAACTCCCAGAAGCCTTCACCATCAGCTCTTCTGGCTGGGGTTTCTGGGAGTTGCAGTTCAAAAACACCTGAGTAGCAAAGGTTAAGAACCACTGATTTACTGCATTAAGCAACAGGGTTTCAGCCAGAGTCTAATACAGTGGTTGCCAACTTTTGGATCCCCAGATGTTCTTGGACTGCGACTCCCAGAAATCTTGGCCAACACACTTGGTGGTGAAGGCTTCTGGGAGTTGCAGTCCAAGAACCACTGGTCTAGCACAACCGATCGCGTAGGTATTTTACCTATGTATATCCTTTTATTCCCTTCCACAGGTTCAACCAGGCCAGGTATGGCTATCCTTTGGCCCTCCAGGGGCTAGACTTACATATGAGTTCCTTGCATGTTCATGTCGTGTGGAACATAAAGTTAATTCAAAATATTACATCTTAAGGGCTGGATCGCTCAGTGGCTTAGACATCTGGCTGCAGAGCTGGAGGTTGGGAGTTGACTCCCCACACGTTCCCTTCCACAGGTTCAACCAGGCCAGGTATGGCTATCCTTTGGCCCTCCAGGGGCTAGACTTACATATGAGTTCCTTGCATGTTCATGTCGTGTGGAACATAAAGTTAATTCAAAATATTACATCTTAAGGGCTGGATCGCTCAGTGGCTTAGACATCTGGCTGCAGAGCTGGAGGTTGGGAGTTGACTCCCCACACGGTGCCTCCTATCTGGCTGCAGAGCCAGAGGTTGGGAGATGAATCCCCCCACAGTGCCTCCTGGACAGGGATTCATAGGATCCCCTTCTAGCTCTGCACTTCTAAGCTGATGATGATGATGATTAAGGAGACTCATAACAGGAATTCCTCAGGACTCGAGAAGCATAAGTAGCAAAGGAAGTCTGTCGCGTCGTCTTTGGTAGCAGTTGTACTTATTTCCTTCCTTTGTATTATAATTTTTTTTCACAGCACGGCCATGCGGCTTTCATGGCTCCCTGTTGGGATTCTCGACAACGGTAGCTTATTCAGTGGACGGCAGAGCTGGGATAGTTGCATGGAAAAGTGGGCAGATGTTTTAAACTCACTTTTATAGGAACAAGATTTTTCAGCAAATGCGTGGTTTTTCTCGTAAGCTCCCCCCCCGAAATCAACGAGGGCCGCATGAATCCAGAACTGTGGAACGCCACTAATTCCCTTCTTCTGCTTCTCTCTAATACAGATGGAGAGCCACAGCTGGCCTCCACAGTCATTGACACTATCCTGGCCGGCTTGCCGGGACCTCGCGGCGCACCAGGACCCATTGGACAACCGGGTAAGAGGGTTGATGGGATGAATCCGTAACTAGTTACAAACCAAATAGTTACTTGTGAGTAATTACTTTTGAGAATCAACTCATGTAATTAGACTTTACAAGATTGCTTTTTAAGTGTAACAAGAACACCTAGGTGACTTGGGTGTAAGGAGTAAATCTAGCTACTTTCAGGAGTTACTTTTTAAAAGTATTTTAAGTTATTTCAGGTGGGCTTAGACCCCAGATGTTTAAGTGTTACACTATTCTGTTACCCATCTTAAGTGGCAAGGGGACATATTTGGTTCTGACTTTATTGTTCTTGCAAATATTTGTGTATTGTAATATCAGAATGTTTAGTGTTACAGAATGATATTCAAAGCAAGGAGAGTTTTTTAGTAATAGAAGAATACCTCCTTTTGTCCTGTGGCTCCCACAGCTTTCACATGAGGAAACAGATTATTTGCAAATGTGATAAGACATGGACGAGAACGGGGAAGTCTGACTATAGAGAATTTAAAGACAGATGTGTACTTTCACCCAGAAAGGCAGAATGAGGCTGGTGTGCAGAATGAATTCCAAGAAAATCCATATTTGTGTCTTGTTCTGTCCTCACCTCAGACTACTGATGGAGGCTGGGGCAATTCACAGTAGAATGAGGGGCAATTCACAGCACAATAAGGTCATGGACTGAGTTCTGTTGAACTAGATGGGAACAGGCAAAATGTGTCGCCCTTAATGTTTTTATAATTTAGCAGGAACCGTATGCCCAAGCTTGTAGATTCAATCCAGAATTTGGAAGGTAAGCTGTAAAAAAAAATAAATAACATGTTTCATTACTTGTTAGCAAGCTCTAAAAAATAATTCTCCATCATTAGTATCAGTGGTGAAAAAAAAAAGTAACTTGTTATATCAACCAGTGTGTTCATCAGTGCATTAACCATTACTTTTTTAAGCAACCCTAAGCAATCAGCAAACTAGCTGCTAGTCTGTATAGAAGAGCACCCTATTTAAAAAAATCAGAGGGGAAAAAAACCCAAATAAATAAAAATTCAGAAATCTAGAAATAAATTTCATTTCTCAATCCTGGCAGTCAGCAAGAGAGGGAGTTTTGTAAGCAAACAAGGATCCTCAAAATCGCAAACATGGGGGAGGGGGACACATGAAACCAGAAATGGGCTGCTAGCATAATTCGGTTTGGGTTTTTATATTTTCCACTGGTTGCCAGCACCGGTGTGCCCTTGATGGAACTTGAGCTTAAACTGTGGGTCCCCAGATCGTCCTGATTTTACAGCATATGAGGAAGGAACAGAAAGCTCCAAACTGCCTTTACATCCCTTTTAACCAATGGACCGGTGGTTCTCAACCTTGGGTCCCCAGATGTTCAACTACAACTCCCAGAAGCCTTCGCCACTGGCTGTGCGGGTCAGGATTTCTGGGAGCTGTAGTCCAAGAACATCTGGGGACCCAAAGTTGGGAATCGTTGCTAGACTTAACCAAGAATTGACAAGCATGTTTTGTTAAGAAGTCCAAAGTTGGGAATCGTTGCTAGACTTAACTCCAAGAATTGGCAAGCACATTTTGTTAAAAAGCCCCCTCCCCCATGAGACCTGAATCCCCTTCCGGTTTTTAATGCTGATACACATTTTCCCCCACCACAAAAGGGTCTTAAGGGGATTGTCTGCATGGAAGACTCTCAGAACTGACCTCCCGTGAGGAGCGCAAGAGGCTGTTTGCTCTTCTCACTGCATTCCTCCATTTAGCCTTCGGTTCATTTCACCCCTGGCTTTGATAGACAAAAGGTTGCATTAATTATTGAGGCTGATTCAACGGCCCTGGTGGGCGTCTGGAGCACGCCGGGGTTTCATCTGAAACAATTAAAGCCGAGATCAGAAGGAGCCTGTATCTGTTCCCTTCCGCCCGCACCCCGAGAACTGCAAATGTCCTTAATAGTCAACGTCTGGAAGAAATTATATTCCCTTCCTGCTCTCCCTCCCCAAGTGGGAGGAAGCCATCAGGAGACAATGTGGCATAGCAAGCAGATCCGGCCAGAGGAGTGTTCCCGTTCTGCCAAGCGTGGGACATGTCAGGCGGGACTCTTAAAAATGAACGCAGCCTGGCGAAGAAGCAGCCTTTCGAAACCTTGACCCATCGCGCTGCCTGTTTCTGATCCCAATAAGTCGGGAAAGGTCCCTGGGAGCAAAATCTGGTGGGTTATAGCTGGGAGCAGGACCAAGTTAGCACCAGGGCCGTGGGGCTGAGTTCAAATCAGTTGCAAAGCCCAAACCAAATCACCCGGGCTGGCCTGGGTTTGTATGAAGTCTAAGTGAAAACAGAATGTCCACATTCAGTCCTGGAGCAGACAGAAGTGAATTTAGGGATTTGTGCCATCAGAGGGGGCACGAGTCACTCTGGATCAGAGTGTGTCCGGAAGCCCCAGATCGGCCTCCCGAGGGAAAGACACGAAGCTGATCACAGCAGAAAAGGGGTGCTTTAATGGGAGTGATCTGTCTTGAAGGAACCCTTCTGGGGAGACTAAGAGCTGTTGAATCTTATTTCAGCCCCAGTGATGGGATTAGCTAGATGGACCGGCGGTCAAACCCAACGTAAAGCAGTTCCGTGTGAATGCAGCATAGTGAGAAGGGTGTGCAGGCTTCTAGGCTGAATCCAGAACGTAGCATTTTGAGTTTAGTGTCAATATGCCTCATTACCTGTCCGTGAGAGACGCAAAATTAATTCAGAACGTTTAAGATCGGGAGTTTGAAAACTTCGCCTTAGTAGTGAATAGCTTCATTTCTCCTACGTTGCTCAGCATCTTTCATCAAGGCGTTAATCATAATCTGTTTGAAACAAAAGTGTGCAAACGGAAGTTCTTGTTCCACGCAAAACAAGCAAGCAAACAAAAACCAACACACAAACACAAGGGGCAGGTCTGCACCCCGGAGTATCAGTTCCATAGGCTACAAACGGGAGCTCGTTTCCCTGAAAAAAATATTCCTAAGCTTGGAACCAACATTTTTAATTCTATCTTTGAACACTGGTTTGATATTAGAGCAGGGGAAAAGAATCAGATTACTAGTCAAAGACATATTATTTTGTTATGCCATTCTTAAACAAACAAGCGGAAGTCTTCCTAAAATTAAAATCAATTGTGAAGTCAATTTTCATTTGTTATTAAAAGAACAACGTAGAATAATGTGTTATTTTTAATGCATTGGCACCAAGCTCCAGTTCCCCTGTCATTATATTGGGCTTTACAGTAGATCAAATCAAGCCCGAACTGTCCTTGGTTGGTGGCAGAAATGCTGGAGCTGAAGCTGTCCTCCTTTGGGCACATCATGAGAAAGCAAGACAATCATGCTAGGAAGAGTTGAAGGAAGCAGGAAGAGAGGAAAACAGAATGTTAGATGGACTCCCTCCCTAAAGGAAGCCACATGCTTGAGCAAGGCAGCTGAGGGCAGGGCATGTTGGAGATCACTCATTCATGCCATAAGTCATGGGCAACTTGACAGCACATAAGAGCAGTAACAGCTAAGGGAGGGAGAGAAAAGAAATAAGGCTATTCTGAGCTGGAAAAAGACAGCAAACTTTTCCTCCCCCTCCAGCTCCCATTGGGCTTGATTTTCTATTAATTCTCTTAATAATCCTCTTAATTTTCCCATTCCCCCCCCCCAGGCCCACCTGGATCATCAGGCCCCAAAGGGGCCCCGGGATCTGTTGGCACTCCTGGCTTACAGGTAGGCAAAGACCATCCTCTATCCTTGAATAATTCCTATACGAAAATAAGGGCAGGTTTCTAACCAGGGGTGGCAAAAAAGAAAAAAGAAAAGAAATTGGATTTAATAGCCTTGGGAAAAGGATTGTCATTGTACCGTTTGGGATTAATTGTGGGACTCAAGGAACCACATTTCAAGAGTCCTACATTGGCAAGAATCAAGATATGCTTTGGAGAAATTCTTTACATAAAAATAGGCCCTGAATTTTAATATCGTTTACTCACTCACTCACTCACTCACTCACTCACTCATTTACTTACTTACTTAACTACTTACTTACTTACTTTATTTAGAATATTTTACTCTGTCTTTCTCTTTAAAAGGAACCAATATAAGATAAGGTAAAGGTTCCCCTTGACATTTAGTCCAGTTGTGTCCAACTCTAGGGGGCGGTGCTCATCCCCGTTTCCGAGCCATAGAGCCAGCGTTTGTCCATAGACAGTTTCCGTGGTCACGTGGCCAGCGCGACTAGACACGGAATGCCATTACCTTCCCACTGAGGTGGTACCTATTTATCTACTCGCATTTGTTCGTGCTTTTGAACTGCTAGGTTGGCAGGAGCTGGGACAAGTGACGGGAGCTCCCTCCGTTGCGTGGATTCAATCTTGCGACGGCTGGTCTTCCGACCTTGCAGCCCAGAGACTTCTGTGGTTTAACCCACAGCGCCACCAAAATCTATGCACACAATGTGGGAAATGTGGTTGCGTGGATTCAATCTTACGACGGCTGGTCTTCCGACCTTGCAGCCCAGAGTCTTCTGCGGTTTAAGCTGCAGCGCCACCAAAATCTATGCACACAGTGTGGGAAATGTACCTCCCAAACTGTGTACAAATATCACAGTGTGTGTTAGCAGGGGAGGCAATGCCACTTAATATGAACGACCGTTGAGGAAGGGAGTGCAAAGTGGAATTTTGAGCATTTTCTCCCTCAACTTAAAGGCCACAAGGGTGTTTGAAAAGATACAAATAGAATGGCTTGTTGTGCGCTTGCTGGTGTGTGAAGTGGCAAGTGTTTGGTGCGCCACAAGATGTTACCTTTTTATTAAACAAAGCAGAGGCTGACTTTACTTGGAGCAGAGATTCACGTACGAAGACGTTATCACTGATGACTACCCCACGGGGCCTTATCTCTGCTCCTTTCCTGGGGATGGGCCTGATCCATTCACCCTTTCTATTTAACGCTCATCTAGGGCATCCCTGGCTCCCCAGGACAGCCTGGACCGAAAGGATCCAAAGGAGACCGAGGAGAAAAGGTGAGTTCACCTTAAGATTCGGGCACTGCCTTTTTCTAGTTCACAATGCTGGACTCGCACCATCTTCTCCATGAGTTGAAAAGGAAGCACGAGGAAACTGTGCACAAAAACCCTCCGGGCTACTGGCTACCTGATTGGCGTTATACCAAGGGAAAGAGTTGGACACTCCATCTCAGCCTGGAGGTTGGGCTTCATAACCCTTGAGGGCCCTTCCAGCTTCCCAACGACGTGGGCCCAGGAGCCGACGAAATCCAACACGGTGTCGCCAGGGCTGTGGCTCCAGGGGACAGTTCCCTGAGAGGGTGCACAGCTTGTCCCTCACACAAGTACGAGTGTGACAAAGACAGGGTCAGATCCAGTCCTCGTCCTGCCTCTGAACATGTGCACAGCTCTCGGTATGATGGGTTTTATGCTAGCAGAACGGCACTGGCCCTTCCATCCCCTGGCCACAGAATCCTGCTTCCCCCTCACGCACGCACGTTTGCGAGAGAAGAAAAACAGGATCATATGGTTCCCACGGTGCAACACCATATTCCACACCAAGCATGCCAAGTGGGCCCTTAGGAGTTCTGGAAAGTTTAGTGCTCCATTCCCAAAATTATGCCCATCCCATTTGCAAGCTGGAAAAATGAGAGTGACATGAATGGATGTAACGTCTTCCTCTCCTTTTTATTCTCTAGCATTTTCTGGTTCTCCATGTCCCTCTGCCGATCACCCCTGTCTAAAATCCTTGTTTATATCAGACACCTGCCTTTTCTGGATCGCCGTATCCAGAATCCTGCAAGCAAGATGGGTCCTTGGACCTGCGGCCTCAGAGATTCTGAGAGTTAGAATCCAAACGTGGCTTGCCCAGCCTCTGGTTTATAGCTAAAAGAGGAATGTCCTATGTCTGTCTGTCTCCTGTCTGTCTTGTCATATGGGCCAAAACGGTGCCGGTTTGTCAACAAATCTTCCCCCAAAGTCCACCAGTGGTAGAGGGGTCTGTGGGTTACCTGTGGACACGTATGGTGAATCTCTGTCATCGCTTGTGGAGAGGGAGAAGAAGCTGAGGAATAGAGTCTGCGTGGAGAAAAGAGCAATCAGGGGGAATGGGAAGTGTGGAAATAGAGACCAGAGACCAGAGAAAAGGGGTTGTGTGACTTTTCCCGAGAAGGGCTAAAATCCTGTTGCCCAGTTACACAAATACTGTAGTGGCTTAACTCAAGGCAATTCGTTTGGAAGCAGATTGCCTTCAGAAATCTCCCATTCTAAAATCCTGTTGCCCAGTTACACAAATAGTGGCTTAACTCAAGGCAATTTGTTTGGAAGCAAATTGCCTTCAGAAATCTCCATCGGCTCAGCAGGCAACCGAATAACGCCTATGGTGATTTCTTAATTTACGCAAGTCCATCTCTACAAGGTACATCATTCGTGTAACTGTGCTGCAGGATTTCAGCCCATGCTTTTGTTATGAAAAGCTATAGTGCGGTTTGTGGAGGTGGCTTGTTAGGATGTGGCATGATGACGAGGTAGGATTCGGCAGTTCCAGACCACTCCTTGAACCTGTGGTTTGCTCTCAGCTTATAAATTCTGGGTTGCAAACTCGGGACCGTGGCTTTTCGTGACAACTGGACTCACAACTGTGATTTGTTCCTGGGTTCTTTCTCCAGCTGCCTGCTGTGAATGGACACGGGAAGGACAGTGACAAACCAGAAATGGAAAAGACAGATCCCTCCCCCCACAATTTATGGAGTGGTCTGCTGCAATACTTGTACTTAAATAGGGACAGGTAGAAACCTCATTAAATTCCTCACTAAATGCCCATTGGGAGTTGCCAGTTTCAGAGGTGCAGTGAAATTGCCCCAGCTTTCCGTTTGCCCTTTACTACAGCTGTTCAAGGTGGTGAATCTCTTTGGGGTATTAGAGTTCAGCACCTGGAACGGTTCCAGCAGAGTCCATAACAAAACTCGGAGTGGATTTCTGCCACTCCCGAAATTGGCTTCAGCAGCTACCACTGCTTGGAGGCCGCTTGTCAAAAGCTCGTTGACGTCTGTGATATTTCTCACCTACAGGACAAGAAAAAGAATGAGCGCAGGGGGTTGCCAAGATTTCCTCAATTTGCACAGAAATATCTGTGCAAAACTAATCTTTTCCCTTCGTGAAGCAAAATCAATCCATAGCAGGAAAGAAGGAAGGACTGGCCTGAGTGACAAGAAGACATAGATTAAGCCATCCAATCTTTCTAAAGTTTAAAAGTTCATGAAACAATGTGGCAGCTGTGATAGTTTGCTACACAGGGTTGTGCAATTTCCATCAGGATCTTTCTTTAAAACATCGTATTTTGCTACACAAGAACCAGCAGAATTCCCAATTATTCCATTTCAATTTTTCAGCAAATCCCAATTAATTCATTCTAATGAAAAATACTTCACTTCTAACAGGGACAAGTGGGTCTGACCGGTGAAAGAGGCATTAAGGGAATTCCTGTAAGTGATGTATTTGTTTATCAATTGTGTGTGTGTGTCTGTGTGTCTGTGTGTGTGTGAAAGAGAGAGAGAGAAAGAGAGAGAGAGAGGCATCATAGAGGACAGAGACAGAGACAGAGACAGAGAGAGGCATCGTAGAGGGGAAGGATCATTGTTCTGGCCTCTAACTTCCCTCTCCAGAGCCATAGCTGGAAATTCTGGAAGCTGTAATTCAAAAATGTAATCTTCCCAGGTTGCAGGGAGGATATAAAATACCTATATGGTATTATATACTATGATATGACCTGCTGTATTACAGAGTGGGTAAATTTTGATATTTAAGACTATTCCCCCCCTTCACACACATACACATACACACACAGCGCCCTGTAGGCTTGAGCAGTGCGTAGCCAGGGTTCAGAAGAAAAATGCCCAAACAGAATCTGGAAGTGAAAAGAAATTAGGATTCAGAAAGGGAACTCCACAGAGGAATGTTGTTACTGTTCAGTCGAAGTGTTGCGAGATCCAGAATCAGAACCCTGTACCATGGGGGTGGGGGTGGGGTGGGGAATTGAAAACTTTAATTCCTGGAAAACACCACCATACGTAATACTGGTATATCTTTTTCTTTAAAACTCATATGACTTTTTGAAGGGCCCAGAACTAGAAGCACTGAGCTGGCTGGCTATCGTTACTCAACGAATTATACCAAGAGCTGTGCTACACTGCCAAACTAATTGATGGGCCTGAGAGCCATATCTGAGCACAGGCTAACCCCGCCTGTAGTTGCCACATGTCCTTTTTTGCTGAGAGCCGTGCTCTGTTAAAAATCCTGCCATAGGCCAGTCCTCTTTGAAAAGCTTCTAACCGGGCATCTCTGACTGTGGAGATCAGTTTCATTCAGGAAGTGCTGTAGTGCTAAACTCAATGCCTGGAACAAAAGGAGAGTCAAAATAAACCATGCTTTCAGGAGGTACAAAAAAGTACAGCAGTCACAGAAGAGGCCACTGGACTAAGCAAGACTTGACAAACGTCGTGCGGATGGTGGGGAAATGCCAATAAAATCAGTGTAGAAGCCGTTGTTGGTCTATGACTCTTATGACTCATTACCCTTGAATTGATGGGAGTTGTAGTCCAGTAATGTATGAAGGGCCACACTTTGCTGAGCTTTGTTCTAGAACCTCCTTTTTAAATGCTGTAGCCCATAGCTGTTATTCCCACTATATCAGGCCAGCTCAATCAGTAGCTACGCTGAGGCAGTCACCTTGAGGCCACAGATTGCTGGAAACACAGCCATAATTTGCTGTTTGGAGAATGTCTGACTTTGACGGTCCTTAGAGCCAGGGCTTTATGGGACGGCTTTCCCCCTCCTCCCTGAATTGACCAAAGCAATGCCTTCCTTCTTCCCCCTCCTCCCTGAATTGACCAAAGCAGTGTCTTCCTTCTTATTGGTGCGTTGTCATTTGGGAACAGGGAACATGGCATGAGGACCCTGTTTCCAGCCTGGTAGAAGGAAAAATGTGCGCTGACATTAGAAACCATTTTATTCTTGTAGCGCGAGATGGGAGTGGTGTTGATGATCCCGTCTTATACTGCGGATGGCTAAAAGGCTTTTTACTCCATTTTTAGAGTGGGGGAGAGACAGATTTATATTCAGCAGGGATATCTACGCGAAAGGGACACATTGCCATGCTGACCGCTCCAGAGTGCAGATCAAAAATCATTTCTTTGGACTCGCTTGTCTTTAGGAAGGGTCACATTTTCATAACTTTCAAGGCCTGCCGATTGGAACAGACCTTCGTCTTGAGAACACACCCCCTTGTGAGGCTTCCTGGAGGTTTCAAAGATACAAACGCTCGCACAAAAACGAGGCACACATACATTAAAATGCAAAGGACTCCATTTTTCAAAGGGACGTATAAAAAGCTTTCGTTGACGAGGCCACGGTGGGCATTAGATAAAACGCACGGACAAATGTGCACCGTAAGCAAAACACAGCATGAAATGTCAACTGTTGTACCCCCCCCAAAAAAAAAAGTTTCGTGGAGCGAAGCAAAGGCTGATTTGGTACACAATGGGATTAAGAGAAAGGTAACGAAATTGAGATGGAGGAAGTCAGTAAGCAGAGCTTGCTTGGGCAAACTGGCTGTGGATTCTGGCTGGCAAGCTAGTTAATTTTCTTCGGGCCTCCGATCTTCTTTCTTCTGGCACTGAAAATGATCCGTGACTCAGGCGGGACTCTTTCAGCATGTTCTATTTCCTCCTTTTCAGGGTGAACCTGGCAAGAAAGGCGAAGAAGGAGACAAAGGTGCAGATGTAAGAATCCAAGCAATTCTTCTTTATAGTTACGGCCATTCTGTTCCCACACAATCTCTCCCTCCCTTAATGGATACAATAGGAGGGAGGGGCCCAGGCACACACCTCCAATGAAAATCCATTTCATAGGAGGGGGCCACCACGAAGAAGGTCTCTCCTCTCTCAGTGGGGCCACCCTCAGCCACGAGGCCCTGGGAGGACCAGGTGAAACGGGTGGAGCTGTTCTTTGTGAGAGATGCTACTACAGTAGTACCTTGACTTACGAACTTAATCTGTATTGGAATGGCGTTCATATGTCGAAAAGCCTCCAATGAAAATCCATTTCATAGGAGGGGGCCACCACGAAGAAGGTCTCTCCTCTCTCAGTGGGGCCACCCTCAGCCACGAGGCCCTGGGAGGACCAGGTGAAACGGGTGGAGCTGTTCTTTGTGAGAGATGCTACTACAGTAGTACCTTGACTTACGAACTTAATCTGTATTGGAATGGCGTTCATATGTCGAAAAGGTGGTCCTGTTCGTATGTCGAAAAGTTTGTAAGTCGAGGAAAACCTTTCCATAGGAATGCCTTGGAAACCATTTAATCCGTATCTGCTGTTTTTCATTCATATGTCAAAAAGTTTGTAAGTCAAGGAAAACTTTTCCATAGGAATGCCTTAGAAACCATTTAATCTGTATCTGCTGTTTTTCGTTCATATGTCAAAAAGTTTGTAAGTCGAGGAAAACTTTTCCATAGGAATGCCTTGGAAACCATTTAATCCGTATCTGCTGTTTTTCATTCATATGTCAACAAGTTTGTAAGTAGAGGAAAACTTTTCCATAGGAATGCATTGAAAACCATTTAATCCGTATCTGCTGTTTTTCGTTCATATGTCAAGGTGCTGTTCGTAGGTAGAGGCATTAGTTCCCATAGGAACTATCGCAAAGCCGATTAATCCGTACTCTACCGCTAGGGGGAGAATTTTTTTTATTTTTTCTTCTTTTGACCTAAGATGAACTTAGGTCAAGAAAAGGGCAGGAAAAGTTTTTTCCTCTTTTTTTCGTTCGCAAGTCGAGGCTCCATTTGCAGGTCGAAGCAACTTTTTGCAAACGTAGCCATTCATAACTCGAATCGTTTGCAAGTCAAGACGTTCATAAGTCGAGTTACCACTCTACAGACGTTGTAATTTTTATTTTCCTCTTTTTTTCGTTCGCAAGTCGAGTTACCACTGTACAGACGTTGTCATTTTTAAAAACTGTGGCCCCTGTAAGATGAAAGGCAGCCATCTAAGCAGGCCAGTAGAGGATTCTGTTTTTGTTTTCCGTCTCTGAAAGGATGATGGGAGTTTCACGGCCAACGAGCAGTGGTGGAAAAAAACAGCTGAGTGGAATTGAGTGGGTTGAGGTCTCTGGCTGCAGAGCCAGAGGTCGGGAGTTTGATTCCCCCCCCCACGGTGCCTCCTTGATCGACTGGAGTCCATGATCCCCGGGGTCCTTTCCAGCTCTGCAGATTATAAGATTATAAAATAAGATTATAATCCACTGTACAATTTGTTAGGATGACGCCCATTCCAAGGGCCAGGATTTTGAATATTCTATGTCTCTTCCTACACAAGATTTTTTTTTTTAGTGAAACAAACGGAACCAAATACGTTCATTCTGTGTGCTGTTTAAAGCCCTCGGAATTAGTTCCCTTTCTCAGACCTGCAGCTTGGAAAAGTTTCTGTTTTAGATGCTAACTTCTGGGAGAATCCCTCCAGCAGCATAACCACTAGCCATGCTGGCTTGGGAATTTCTGGGAGTCGTAGTCCTCAAAGTTGGCTTTTCCAAGCTATACTGAGATTATGGCTTTCTGTGTCAGCGACTTATTTAATTAACTGAAGGATACCAAATCATCCAGTTTATTTTGGCATGTGAGACTACAAACTCCCTAAGGCCTTCATCCCGTTCCTGGCAGTAAAGAAGAATAAGAACAAAATAAATAAATAAGCCGCATGTCCTGCCTCTCCGTTATTGTCACGCCAGCCTGTTGTCCGAAGCAGCCCCCTGACCCGACCTAATGGCAGGACCGGTTGAGAAGCCAACGTGTCTTCCCCCCCCCTTTCTCCCCATGCAGTTCTTCTCAGCAAAGGGAGAGGGAGAAAGGGAGAGAAAAAGAATCCCTTTAGGGGATTGTGCATTATGAAATGGTGGCAGTGATGTCTGATGGGGCTACAGTGCCACATACCTTAGTTGCATCTCACCTGGACGGCTGCAAGGACTTCTACATGGGGCCCTTCCTTGAAGACGGTTTGGAAACATCACCTGGTGCAAAATGTTCCATCCAGGAAGCTGGACTAGATGGGCCCTTGGCCTGATCCAGCAGGGCTCTTCTTGTGTTCTTATATCCAGGCCATGAACCAGGGCCAGTTACATGGAGCTTATAACTCCCCTATTACAACAACTTCACTGGCTGCTAGTCTGTTTCTGGGCCCAATGCAAGAGCGCTTGCTATGACTAGAGGTGGGCACGAACCGCCGAACCTGGAGTTCATGCCGGTTCGTTTCTTGGCCAGAGAGCTATTTTGGGGCTCCCAACCCCACCTCCTCCAGTGGGTGTCCACTCAGAGGCAGTGCCCGGCTTTCCTGGCCCACCTCCTCTGGGCCCTGTGAGTGGGTGTCTACTGGCGGAGACAAGCTGAGTGCTTGTTCGGCCTTGAAACGAACCAGCACGAACTGCGGTTCGTGCCCATCTCTAACTATAACAGGTCTTTATAAAAGCTCAATTCAAGCCACACCAGAGAGAGAACCTTCTCTTTGGCTGCTCCCAGGCTTTGAAATGCTACCCCTCTGGAGGCTCGGCTGGCCTCCTTCCTCTTGTCCTTCTGCTGCCAGATAAAAACCTTCTTTAGATGGGCTTCTAACAGCTAATTGGGCAGAGAAGATTTTTTTTATTTAGGATATTATTATTAATATTATTATTAATGCACCTTAACAGCTAATTGGACAGAGAAGAGTTTTATTTAGGGTATTATTATTAATATTATTATTAATGCATCTTAACAGCTAATTGGGCAGAAGAGTTTTTATTTAGGGTGTTATTATTAATATTATTATTAATGCACCTTTGGATCTAGTTTAAGGGCTTTTAAACAGTCTCAACTAATTATTTTAATAAACTTATTAAAATGATTTAACCTGATTATCATTTTTTTAAAAAATAATAATTTGTGCACTCCTTTGGGTCCCCAGTTTGGGAGAAGGGTTGCACAGAAATAAGAGAAAATAAAGGTAAAGGTAAAGGTTCCCCTTGACATTTTTAGTCCAGTCGTGTCCGACTCTGGGGGGCGGTGCTCATCCCGTTTTTCAAGCTGTAGAGCCAGTGCTTGTCCAAAGACAGTTTCCATTGTCATGTGGCCAGCATGACTAGGGAGCGCCGTTTTACTTTCCCACCGAGGTGGTACCTATTTATCTACTCGCATTTACATGCTTTCGAACTGCTAGGTTGGCGAGGAGCTGGGACAAAGCAACGGGAGCTCCCTCCATCGCATGGATCCGATCTTACGACTGCTGGGATTCTAACCCTGCAGCAAAGAGGCTTCTGGGGTTTAGCCCGCAGCGCCACCACGTTCCTTGATAAAATTATAAAATAGAACCTCCAAATCCATGAGTGGCAGTTTGGGGGGCAGGCTGAGTATGGGTGGTGGCACATGGCAGTGGGTTATACCTTTGGGAGCCTGAACAAATCCATGGTTGCTTTTGTCTCCTCTCCCTTCTCTCCACTGCAGGGCGAAGGTGTGCAACAGCTCCGAGAGGCCCTGAAGATTTTAGCCGAGAGAGTGTTGATTCTAGAACATATGATAGGAATCCACGGTGAGTCCCAGACAAAACATGCTAAGGGTTAATGGGGAAGGAGGCGCTGTGCTTATTAGGGATGACTCTCTGCATGTTCCGAGTTCACAACATTCATCAATTTGTTTAAAGTATCCGTTTGCTACGTTCAGAGCAAACTGCATTCTGAAAGATAATATTTCAAAACACGAATCACATCAGTCCGATTGCAAAATCGAGCAGCATTTCAGAGTCTTGCTGAATGGGACACAGACTGGGGTGGGGGGAAAAAAACTTTAAATGATCTGTTCGTGACAAGTGAAGGTGATGCTCTGGGCTCTTTGTGGATGAGAGGGGAAGGCACCCTCCTGGAATTATCAGTTCTGTCCTGAAGGAGGAAAGGTACCTGTCCTGAATCAGGCACAATATTTTCTGTCAGTCTTTACCAGAGGTTGGGAGTTCGAATCCCCAACGGCGACTCCCGTGAGTAAAGCCAGCCTAGGTGTGGCCTCAAGCCAGCTGCAGAGTAGCCCAGAGGTTGGGAGTTCGAATCCCCCGCGGCGACTCCCGTGAGTAGAGCCAGCCTGGGTGTGGCCTCGGGCGAGCTGCAGACTAGTCCCGAAAAGGTCCCCAGAAGAAGGGAAGGGCCAACCACTTCCGAGTATCCTCTACCTGGAGAAAACCCTGAAAAAGAAGTCAGAACTGACTTGACGACACAGGCTGATTTCCAAGTCATGCGAACGATGTTTCCACAAATCATGCAAATTGAGCAAAATTGGCTGTGAATGCTGCTTTGTTTTTGTAGATGACTAAGAACTGGAAGTGCGGGTCTCTTTTTGAATAATTATCAAGTGTTCCTTTGCTCTCCCCCCCCCCCNGTGAAAAGGGAGCTGTGTTTTCACACAGGGACATCTCAAAGAAATTGTGGAGAACCCCTAGCCTTGCTTTTCCATCTCACTCCCTTGAAAGTTCCTCGTGAGGGAGCCAAAATCCATGAGAGGGGGGGATTTAGCCGGTATTCTTCACCCCACAACCGCATACTCCACCTCCCCTCCCCTGCCTCTCTTTTAAAACAACACACACACCCCGTCCCCGTTTTTCCTTTATTTTCAGATTCTTTGTCTTTCGTTGAACCAGGCTCAGGACAAGATGTGATCCTGGGCGCCCCGCTCCGAGCGAACATGAAAATCAAGCGACACCATTCGAACCAGATCATCTCCTCACTGCTGGACGACAGCGAGACCAAAGGGAAGAGCAACGGAAGGAAGTAGGACGCCCAGTAAGGTCCTTGATGGAATTTAGAGGAGAGTTTGGGAATAACGGTGCTCAGAGTTAATTCGTTCACCCTGCAACCCCTTCTTCTCCATGAAATGGGAGAAACGAATCAATTCGTCTCACATCCCCCCCCAAACACCTTTTGGAGAGTAAAAATTTTGTTTTTTTTTCAGCCTTTCACAATGGGGAACATATGGCTACCTGGGGGGGTGAACCTTTTAAAAGGGGGCCACAAGCTGGAAACAAACCTTCACACACACCACCCTATAAGGTTCAATTTGCAACTTACACAGTCCTGATTCTGCCTGTATTTTTTCTGTGTTGTGCTTATGGCCATGGCTGAAAAAGTCTGAGAATAGCCAGGTTAAATGACCACTTTGCTTCTCCCCCTGTTTAATGCATTAGCAGTGATTTTAATGTTTCCAAGGACACGTTATTTCCACCCTCTGGTTCAAAGAATGACTAGGAAAGTGGGATTATTTGTTATCTTTAATGGACTCTATACTCTGTATTTCTCCTAAGTGTATATGTTACAATGAATGTCCCAAATTTTAAAAATGTGCATAATTTGCAGAAAACACACACACACACACACACACACACAGACCATTTTTCAGTTGGATAGACAGCCGACAATAAATCTAATTAAAATCACAGTTTATTTTTTTTTTAAGTAATAAATTCAGAGCCAAACAAAAACAGGCGGGGATACCCTAACAAATATCCCTCCCCCCACAAAAGCACTCCGCTTAGCGTCAGATGAGACATCAGGAGAGATGCATGTTTCCACCACTGAAAATGTTTTCCACAATCAGATTCTTACAGAGGTAACATGATTTAACAATCAAGCTTGCCAATTCAGCTGACAGCCACATTCCAGGGTCTTCTCAGAAAACACAGCATGCTAAATGCAAGATGTGTAGTTGCAGAAAATCACATGCTATGGAAAACAAGGGTCTTTAGGGAGCACATCTTCCTTAAAAAAGTGCCATATGGGTTATCTTGTTTGATCCTCAGCTGGTGGGATGCAATTCCTCAGTGAAGACTGCCACTTTTTAACCCATACTGTCTCCAAGTTATCCTACAGTATGTTGACGCATCGTTGATGAGAGAGAAAACAAAAGTTGATCCTCTGCTCGTTAAGATGGGTTCCCTCGACAGTCCTAACATTTATGGAACTTCTCCTGATCCCTAAAATGAATTGTGGGGAGAAGGTGTCTCTTTCTTTTTGCCTTTGTAAAGCAAAAAGAAAATATATTATTTTTTCAAAAAAAAAGTCAGCACTAGCATTAACAGTATTCACAGAAAGTTGTTTACATATAGGCAACTTGGTGCTACCTCTAGAGGTTATCGGAATTATAATCTAAATTATCCAGAGAATAACCCCTGAGAATCCAGAGAATTGCCCCTGATAATAGGAGGAGACCGCACTGATTTAAAAAATGTGGGAAATGCTCCAGGATTGGGATAGGCTGATTCACATTATTTTTCCTCTGACCTCACTAAGCAAAAGGAAATGTGAACCAGCGTAGAATCTCCCCCAACTTCAGTCTGTAGTTTTTGCCTCTGCCACTGAGGCTGCCACTTTTTTTTTAAAGGATCCAGTTGCATTGGTTCAGCACTGTGCTGCTTGAACCCACGCAGAAACACCCCCATCAGCACACATTTAACAGCTTCTTCTTCTCTCTCTCTGCAAGACTCTCCGTTTTTTAAATATCTCTCTCCATGGGCAAGACTCTTCTCTCTATCAGCAAGTTTTCTTTTTAAAAAAATAAAATAAAATAAATAACAATATGAAGAAATGAGGGAAGGAAGCCTTGCTTACAGCTTATTAGGTTGTTCCTTTGTAACAGTGCCACCTACAGGACTATAATTAGAACTGCAAACAAGCTGTAAACAAGGCTGTCCTCCTCTCTGCCTGTGTTGGCCAGTCGATCCAAAAAGACCCAGGGGAACCCAAGTTCCCCAGTGCAACTTCACCATTTCCCTTGCTATATAGTCACATCCATAGTGTGACAACTGGTGTCAATAGCTGAGAAATGGAGGAAAGCTGAGTGGAGTGGTTGCCCAGTGCCAATGACAAAAGGACATACCGCAACATTTTGTTACCTCTCCCTATTGTGAACAATACATATTTTCACAGCTGAAGACTGAGTATTGTATCTTTCCTTGGCAGGCCCAGCCATGAAGGCTGAAGAGGCTCAGATACCGTGGACTTCTGTCAGATGTCCCTGCAGGTCAGGAAGATGGAACATCTGTTGGGACAGGAAAGCCATCTGCGAACTCTCCACAACCTTTCCAATGTATATTTCGCACGCGGTAGACCTCCTATCTCTTTGTTTCTGTCCTGTCCTTCTCAGCCGATCATGGCAATAATGTCTAGCTGCTGCCAGGCAAGCTCACATAATCCAAGCGGGCCACCGTCCTCCATCCTGCTGCGCCTGTAAACATAGCTCAAACGCTTCCCCCTCTTCCGACCTCTTGCCAGCACAAGAGGAGTAGGTTCCCTAAGCATCATCCCTGCACAAATGGCTCCTTTGGGCCAAATGCTGGTCCCCAGTGGGTCCGGGGGAAGAGGTGGTCTCTGAGGTCATCGCAACCCACCAGTGACCTCGTCTCTCTTGCATCCTTCCCCGTTCTTCTGGAATTGCACCCACTTCCTCCTCCTGTTTCCTCCGAAGCAGTGCACACAGGTGGGGAGAGGTGGGACGGAGGGAGATGGCGTTCGTGGGTTTTTGCTGGGGAGGCACCATGAGGAGAGGTGGCGGTGTTAAGCCTGGGTGTGGGCAGAGGAGTGCCCCCCGCACACCACCCTGCTTAGGATGACCACCTCAGGGTGATGAATGATAAGGCTCTTCCCGGGTTCCAGAAACCAAGACGTTGGGCATGATCCAGGCACCAGCATCTCCGAGAATGTCTGAGGCCCACACCCAAATTTCCTTCCTTCCTTCTGTTTGACTCACAAGATGCCTTCTGTTGTAGCCCTTCTGCATTCAGACACTCTGGAGCATTTTCTGCCTATTTAATCCGTGCAGGGATGCTCCGCTGGCTCTCTGCAAATCATTTGCCGTGAACCGAAAGGGTTCTGTGGGACCCACCCCACCCTTGCCTGCCACGGAGTATTGTGGCTGGGAGGGTGAATGACACAGCATAGCTATTTTCCATGCCCTTTCGGATCTTTTCGCAGAAGAATTCAAGATAACCCCTCGAAGGAACTGAAGGTGTCTCTGAAACACAGTTTGAAAGCCATTGTTCTGCTTGGTTTTACAACCATTGCCCTCATGCAGGGGAAAAGGGAAAAAAGAAAAAAGAAACACACCATGTCCAATTAGGGGTATGAATTGCTGGTATTTGTTTACTAATCCTGCTGGCAAAACTTCATTCTGGGGACCTAAGATCCATGAAGCCCGTAAACATCTTTCAGAATCCATCTACCATCTGCTAAAGTTCAGCTTAGCTCTTCACCCCTTAACTACAAGATCATTTCTGGATTCTCCTATCCATGAGCAAAGATTCCATCACCGGTTTCTCATTTTATGTCTGAAGTCCGCGAGTTGCTGTGGATGATGGGGAACCACAAGAGTTAGGGTTGCTCCTTGGGACCATCACTGCCCAAATCCTACAGACGTACTTCTTGTAGGAACCAGCCAAACTTTTTAAAAAAGCAAACTTCCCCATCTCTGGGGGAACAACCATGGCATTACTTGCCAAGTTCATGGATTTTGTTGGGTGTAACGGGGTGAATTTCACCAGGCAATGTTTTCCCCGTTCCCTCAGGTTCACACTCACACAAATCTCTCCTCCTAAGTTTCCGCTCAACACAACAGATGTTAAAGGCACCAGATGCCCAAGCAGAAAAGAGATGTACTCCCAGTCACTAGGTTGTTGAGATTTTGGAAGATGGACTCCCCATCTCGCTTCACAAGCCTTGCTTTGTTTCGACACTTTCAAGCCTAATTCTCTCAGCCATGAGGACTAGAAACCTAGTGGCAAGCTGAGATTCTCAAGAAGAGGCATTAGGTCTGCCAAACTCATAGAAATCATAGAAAAGTGAAGTTGGAAGGGGCCTACAAGGCCATCAAGTCTGACCCCTTGCTCCATGCAGGAATCAATCTTTGGTGCCTTCATCACCCCGCTTTGCTGTGGAAGCCCTTCTTTACCTTCTAGGGTTGTTGTAAAATAAAATAAAAAGGGGACACTTGCAGAATGCATCCCCCCCCCAAAAAAACCATAATTTCTGGCCACTGTTCACTGTGGTGAGGGCAAGTAGGTTAAAATGGAGAAAAGATAGGGCTCTGGTGGCTAAATCTGCTTCCCAGAAAGTAAATATTAGAGGTGTGGAGACTGGGTGTCTTTGGGACTGCACAACTGCTGGAGGAATTCTGAGCATCAAAGTCCAAAGCCACAAGTCTTCGCACCTCTAGTAAAAACCATGAAGACTGAACGCAGGGCAGCTTACTTCAAAGTAAACATGACATTAGTTTTGTATCATTTCAGCAGCAAAGGGGCCTGTTTTAGTCAATGGGATTGAGCCCGAAATATAGAGGCCTCAGTCTTGTTACTCCCAACTGGAAGAAACTCATTGCACCCCTGACCAGAATTTGGTTGGAGATTTATACTGGTGTGCATGTAATTATGTAAATCACAATCCGGGGTGGGATTTTTGGTTTCTCTAAACTGCTGATACCATAATTCTCCATTGGCCCTATCTTGTGGGCGCATTACAACACCGCAGTGTGATGCAACTGGGAGCAAGGCCTAAACTGAAAAGCTCTTGGGCTGAGCTCGGCCTAGCTTCCTGTTCCTGCCCCCAGTGCTAGCTGGGAGCTCTCTTTCTGTGCAGGAAGCTCAGGCTGAGCTCGGCCTAGCCTAGCTCAAAGCCTTTCAGTTTAGACCTTTCTTCCAGGTGAATCTCAGGGAGCTGTTTGTCAGGTACCTGCAAAGTAGGAAGACCTCCCAGAACTGTGTTTGTAGTCCAGAAAATCTTAAAACCCCATACTTAATAACAACGGTGAATTGCTGCTTTTTGAACTCTTTGCTGCTTTCTTTCCTAACCTCATGCCAAGCCATGCAACCAACATAGGTCCAAGAAAGCAAGTAGCAACTCGTTAATTAGCAACGATTTCCTGACACCATTGATGCATTTACTCTTTTGCCTGTGCAAATGCTCAGTATGCTTCTGAACCATGAGGCTTACGGAAGTGTTGATTTAACATGACTCATTCATTCAGTGGGTCTACCCTAATTTGGATTAACATTTGCATTTAGGCCATATTCGTTTACAGTTTTAATGCTGCTTTGCCACTGATTTCAGCCTAATAAACCCCTGGTATGTTACAGTTATTTAACAGTAATTACAATAATTTTAAAAAGAAAATAGTTTTCAGAAACAGAGAGAAGTTTCAAGCTGGCATTCACATACTTTTCTTGCTACACAACGTGTAACGAGTTTAAAGTTATTGGAAGGGATCCTTTTTGTTGATGAACGACGTATGAGGAAGTGAGTCCACGAAACCTAATGCCCAGTAAACCTTTTTTTCAGGCACCACAATCACCTTTGGTTGGTCTTGTTCGGAGGAACGTGGCTCTGCTTTGCTCTGATAAACATTTTTTTTTCATTATTTCACAAATGCTCCAAGGTTGACCTTATGGATATCCCTCAGTAAACCTGCGATGAGGCAAGAAGTTGAGGTCCTTTGCAAAGAGCGCAGATATTCCTCCGTTCGTGCCTCTTCAAAGCATGCAACACGTGCGTCTCTGCATGCACACACATCCTCAAGTGAATCAACCGTTGGAATCAAAATGTTGCGACAGGATATTTAGCAGCATTAACCTTGACCCACAAAGCCTCAGTTGCCACTGTAAAGTAAGGCAAGGCAAAAGGTTCACATTGTAGGGAGTGTGATTTACCTGGAGGCAAAAGCAGCTTAGCTCTGATATGCAGGAGAGACGCTTCACATCTAACTATCCAGCCCTGCGCTATTGTGACCGTATAATGCAGAAGCCGTGGCTGAGGTTCCTAGTCCCGTGCTGGCTGTCAGAAGTGTAGATGGTCTATAGGTTTCTTTCAAGTCTGTGCCTGCCCCCACAGCCTCCCCATACAGGATGCGAAAGAGGTGGCCCCAAAGGTGCTATAAATATCTATAAATATTAAATATATATATATATATTTAATTTATACTCATGTGTTATTAACATCCACTAGTGTCCCAACTCCTTTTAAAGCTCCTAATCCTGATACTTGCTGGGAGAGGGGTTGTTTGCTTTCAAATCATCGTCATGCTGAGCTTGCACCGACCGGCGCTAGGAGCGCTTCTGTCTGAACGGGTGTGCTTTTGTCGATTTATCAGGATCTGTGGAACGGCGAATCCTGATCGGCAACGAGAGAGCTCAAGCAGGCCACTTGGGAAACGGGCCAAGACACCGACAACTCAAAGCGGCCCTGCCTCAGAATCTTGTTGCCTTAAATCCTGCTTCTTGCATCCTCTTCTTTAAGTCCAGGGCATGGAAAGGAAGAGACTTTGAACCCTGATCTGCCCCCCCCCCGAGGCTTCTGGTTCCTAACTCCCCAGTACAATGGGAAAAAGGAGCCCACCCTTCTTTCTGCCCCCAGATTGTGCATTGTTAACTGTTACTGTTCACTGTATCTTCCCTCCCCACCTTTACTATGGGGTTTGTTACTGTATGTGGAATATTTTGTACTCCGTTTTTTTGGGGGGGTGTTTTCCCCCCTCCTTTACAGAACCGAGTGGGGACACTATTAAAGGGCCCACAGATACCAAATCCCTGCTTATTTAATGCACTGAGAAATAAAACATACTGTTAGAGGAAAACAGCGTCTGGTGCCTGCCTGCTGTATTTACGAAATCGTTATCTTTTTCGCCTAATTTTCAATGAAGTTTGCTTCCCCAAATATAAACAGGGATGCCGGTGGGGGCCCCCGTTTTTGCTCCTTGTCTGTTGTCAGAGCTTCGTTTCCAGGCAGTTCACATCTAGGGAAAGAAGTGGTTGCCAAGAAAACTCGAGCTGACAGATGGTTAAAATGCCATCCCACAGAAGATGCCTCGAATGTCTTCCTGATCTGCCTCTCTTCGTGCGGAGGTTCGAAAAGCGATTTTGTGTCTGAACACATTTTTGGTGGCTGCTTGGTACGAGGGCTCCTAAGCAGCGTGTTATCAAACAGCCTCCCCAGAGTTGGAAAGCTTTTCGTGGCCTTCCGGAATTCCCACATGATTTGTTTCATCGCCTCCTCACCGTCTGTTTGATGGGGGGGATCTGTTCGATCTGCTGCGGGAACGCTGTGCAAGCCGAAGCGAGTCATGGATCCACGACTCGAAGGTTCCCTTCAAAACATCCGTACAAAAAGGCTCAGCAAGAGTTTCCCCAGAAAAGCAGTTCTGGATTTTATGCAAAGGAAGAATCAGGGTTAGGGTCAGGCTTTTAGGGTCAGGGTCAAGGTTAAGGAGGAAGAATTGTCAGGGAGGATCAGGGGGCTGGAAACCAAGTCCTCTGAGGAAAAGCTGAAAGAACTGGGCATGTTTAGCCTTGAGAAAAGAAGACAGAGGGGAGAGAGGAGAGTCCTTTTCAAAGACTTGAAAGGTAGCCCTACAGAGGAGGGGCAGGATCTGTCCTCCATCATCCCAGAGTGCAGGACACATAATAATAGGCTCAAATTCGGGGAAGTCAGATTTAATATCCAAAAGCGCTTCCTAACTGTGAGAGTAGTACGACAACAGAACCCATGACCTCAAGAAGTAGTGAGTGCTCCAACGCTGGAGGCATTCAGAAGGAAATTGGAGACCCATCTGTCTGATCTGCTTTGACCTGGATCCCTGCCTTGATGGCCTTCTAGACCCCTTCCAACTCCATGATTGTAGGATTCTATGCATGAAAATAAGAACAGTTGACTTAATGCTTGCATATGAATCTCATGCATGCTGATTCACTTTTATATGAAAATTCCTGGGTTTTTTTTCCTTAATCTTTGGGGTTGCTCCCATCTCAGCCCTTAAGATCCACAACCCATCTATGCCCAAACCCTTCTCTCCACTCAACTGGTCCAGAACTACTTTGACAAGAACAGTGTAGCTGCCGAAACATTCCCAGCCACTGGGCTCATTCTGAGTCTAGCGGTCAACGAGTAGAACCCCACTCACTCAGCGATAAAGGCCAAGATCTGAGACAGGGCTTTGTGACATCATGGAGCAGAGCAAACCAGGACGAAGAAGGAGGCAGGACTGCTCCTGCGACAGGAAACTGAGCAAACAACCAGCCAAGTCAATCCAAGTAAACCCATCCAGGTAAAACGTGGTTGATCAAGTCATAAAGCATCTGAGATTCAGGAGGAAATGGAGTGCAAGGCAAAAGGCAACAAAATGCACGCAGAAATGCTGCAGCTGCTGACCTTTGGCTCCTATCCTGCCTGGCTTCCCCTACATCTCATAACAAGACTCGTGCAGGGGTGCTAGAACTGATGGAAATTTCACCCTCGTCCCACAAGGGCTTGTGCAACAGGAGGTCTCAGGAGTTGCCATGCCAGGTCTCTGCTCCTTGTCTTGTTCCGAACGGCAGGAATCATCTTTCCCGCCCACCCTTTTCAAGATGGAGGCCTGGCGCAGACGGGGCTTTGCTGGGTCTCCAGGCAGGGTGAAGGCCACAGGGGAAGCGCTAGCATCTCGCCGTCCAACGATAACAGAAAACGTCTCTGTCAGCCTCAGTCCCTTGGAGATCATCTCTGCCGAGATGCCTCCTGACAACCCCACTCTGATCTCATTAGCCTTCCGTGGTCTGTAATTGTTTTGAAAAGCAAATCACATCAGGTTCTCTTCCACGGCAACAGTAAGCTTCACAGGGTCAGCAATGAACTTGCGGAGAACTGGTGTGATCCAGGTTCCCAGGCTGTGCCTTCTTCACCCGTTGCTCCTGCCGGTCTCCGGGGCTTCTCGGAGCCGACCTGATGCTTTGATGCATGGGCTGGAGGTGAATCACTAGGCGCGATCCAGAATTTGCAATTGCTGCTTAAGCGTGTATACTGTATGTATTCATACGGAAGGAAGGAAGGAAGGAAGGAAGGAAGGAAGGAAGGAAGGAACAAAGGAATGAATGAACGAATGAACGAACAAAGGAATGAACGAACGAATGAATGAACGAACGAACGAATGAATGAGCGAATGAGCGAATGAGCTGGTGATGACTGGAAGGAAGGAGGGAAGCAAGCAAGAAAGAAAGAGAAATTACAGAGAGTCGCCAGTCTCTTCAAGAGCTAACTGGCCCTAGGGAAAGATGATGAAATAAAGTTTGTGTAATTAGTTCCAAGTGTCCTTTAACAACTTTAAACTGTTACCAGTGGAGGTAGGCTGTATTAATAAAGAGGGAGAAAAGAACGTGCAGACGCCCACATTTATATCTGACCAGCTTTAAGGTGTTTTTTTTTACATTTAATATACATTAAAATAAAACAAATAAAGAAAATCTCCATACACAGTTAATGTACTCCTAACCAGGACCAACGGGGATCATAAATTTCCTTCTTTTTATGGAGCCCCATTCCCCCTTCCAAAAATCCATTAATTAAAAAAATTAATTAAAAAAGTAATTTAAAAATGGGAATTACTCATTTGCCGTGCTGTTCCCAGGCCCATCTTCCCTGGAGAAGGGAAGGAAAAAACAGGACCACTAGGTGGCGCCCCACGTCTGTTTGAAGTGTGGTTTGTTCCATACCTATTGGCTTTTCCTAAACCAAAACAGAGACAAGTTGCTGCTTTCCTGGCACCATCATCATGATTGTACCCAGGTGGTTTGTGATGAAGAAGCCCTGAATTGCCCCTGCTAACTGCCTAACTGTTCCCTATATTTTCCCCCTTGCATTTCCCCCCCTTGTGTACACTCCACTGACATTTCACTGCCTGCAATGAAAAGAACAAACAAGGAGAGACAATCATCGTTGAAAGCGTTCCCGCCACGCAAGAGCAGAAGATGATGGAGGGTGATCTAAAGACATTACCAGGAGACAGTTCAAGAGATTTGTGCACAGGCAGATGTGAAAATACCTCTTCCAGTTCTGATTTATGAACATTTCCATTACAAACCTACCTATGGCTCTTCAAAGGTAAGTTTCGGGAAAATAAAAGAAAGCAGGTTCTTAGAAAGCAGGGATAATGAAAGTAGGGAGAGTCCTGGCCCGAAGACCCCGTTGTGGACGATGGCATCCAGAATCCTTTGCTGGCTGCAGAAGCATGATTTTCTGAGCACTATTCTGAACTAAACTGAACAAACTGGTACATCCACGGAAGTCCAGATTATAAATGAGCGATGAAGTCTCAGGATGTAGAGAACTTCTGAGCACTATTCTGAACTAAACTGAACGAACTGGTACATCCACGGAAGTCCACATTATAAACGAGCGATGAAATCTCAGGATGTAGAGAATAGAATCAAGTCCATTATTCCTTAAATGGGTCGTTAAAAAGCTCTGGCTCTACGTGTTATGCTTCGCTCCTGAAGAAGGCTTGGCCAAAATGCGTAGAGCCAAAGCTTTTTAACGACCCATTTAAGGAATAAAGAACTTGATTCTATTCTCTACATCCAGAGACTTCTGTGCTGCAAGGTCGGAAGACCAGCCGTCCTAAGATCAAATCCAGCAAGGGGAACCTTTACCTTTATCTTTATGCGGGGGGGGGAGAGATGAAAAATACTGGCAGGCTGGAGTTTATGGTGCTGTATTTCAGCCCACGAGCTACGTTTTTGACAGTCATTCCCATAATGCCACACTGTTTACAACACCGGATCGAGCTTCTGAACAGCAAAACACTCCAAGGGAGAAAGGTACTGGTTTCGAGATGGTGCAGGACTGTTGGACTGGACTTGGCACTATAAGCATGTCCAGAGTACAAAAAAAAACACCCCACTATTCTTGCTCTTGACAATTTTCAAAGTCTCATCAATACCAAGTTTTGCCACCCACAGGATTCCCCTGGACTGGCAAAAATTTCCCCGCTTCCTCCAAAAATGAGCTCCTTGGCCTTGTCATTCTTGGGTTATTTCCCCTGATCCAGCGCACACAGGTGTTTCTTCCATGGGCCACAAAACATCTAAGAAATTCAGAACAAATTTGTAGAAGAATTCTGAATTTTGTGCAGTGCAGTGCAGTGCAGAGAATAACAGAGCAGAATAGCTTCGTCCCCCAGAGGGGACCATCACTTTTTCTCATCAGCTGGCACTTTACAATCAGTCACTCATTCTAAGACGTTAGAAGTAGAAATATTTTTTTAAAAAACACCTTTTTTTGCTTACACTTATGAACAGTTCAAACAGCAAACTGACAGACATGACTGCCATCACCAACAGACTCAGTGCTTCCAACAGACTTTACAGAGGGAGAAAAAGTCTCTCAGCAGAGAGGCGGGTCTCACTTTGAATTCAGAGGCAGGGAAGAAATGATTGGTTACTGGTGGATAGATTGACCATCACCCCAGACCAGAAAAATCCCTCCCAGCCAAATCTACTAAAGGCAGCAAGCAAGGTTGTAAAAACTCCAGCAAATGTCCTGTGAGATTTCTTAAGGGAAAAATGAATAACTTTTTTTTTTCAAACAGAAAAGAGGGATTCTCCCACCCAGCAGCTGCCAGGGCAAATCCCGTTAAATAGACTAATACGGCAATGCCAGCTGGATTCTTAAACTGACACCCACACATAACACAGTCCCTCTAATTTCTGCATGCGTTTCCCTGGCTCCTTGCACTCCCTCTTTCCGATTGCCTGCTGGAAAGCACAACGTCGGCCTTTTGCCTTATGTACAGCTCGAGAAATAATTCATGATTATAA